TTTCGAGCAGGTTTCGGCTCATGTTCACTGTTCGCCGTCAGTGGCGACAGAATAACGGCCGCTGCCCGCTGGTCGGTGCGGCTCGCCGTGTGACCTGACCGCCCCTGACCTGACCGCCGTGTGACCTGACCGCTCCTGACCTGACCGCCGTGTGACCTGGCCGCTCCTGACCCGACCGCCGTGTGACCTGACCGCTCCTCGGGTCGACAGACGGTGGCTGACTTCGAGCAAATGACGCCCGCCTTGGACGGCAAGCTGTCCAAGATCGAGGCGACGCTGGACGAGCCGGTCCAGTTCGAGACCGGCGACAAGAAGGAACACCAGGCGGCCAACAAGAAAAACGACGTGAGCTATGACGACTAACTCCTGCCGAAATCGTCTGCTGTCCGAGGCCGTTTCGATGCTTCGCCCGTCCCTTGGCACACGTTGGCGTACAGTCGGTTTGGTGTGATAGTTCGGCTGACTTGAGGCCGTCTGTCTTGGGTGGGGTTCCGACGCCTTTCGTACGCAAATATTGGTGTCCGTTGATGATACCGTAAGATGGGCGCGCTCGCGGGTTGTGCTGACGAAGCCCGGCCTTTGCAGGAAATGCTCGACTTGGTACGGGATGTGAGTAAGAAGATGGGCGACATCTCCGGCCTGTGTGACTTACTAATGAGCGACACGGATGGACTGCCCGATGCCCGCGAGGTGCTGTCGGTGACCCAGGGCGGCGGACACCTTCAAGAAAGGTTAGTGGGTCAGGGGCAGCAGTGGGATCCGAGGCTGTCTGTGTCAGCTGCTGCTGGCTACCAACCGTCTTGCTGTTTTTCGATGGCCGTTGGATGCATGCAATTCCTATACGTCAAGAGTATGTTTGTATATGTTAACGTAGGTATGGAATTAATTTATGCCGCTGGCGAACCTTGCACCGGACTCTCACGCTGACGCCGCCTCCTTCGCTCACAGGTGGCGCCACATCTGCGACGCGTCGGCCGGCCGTCGGCAGCGCGTGTCCGAGGCCTGGGCCACGGCCGGTCAGCTGGGCCGAGAGCTGCGCGAGCTGGAGCCGCGCCTGTCGGCCGCCGAGCAGCGGACTGACGGCTGCCGAGCCGCCGGCCGGCCTGGTGGCGCGCCACAGCGTCCAGCCGGGCCTGGAGGCGGCCAGCCAGGCGGCGGACGAGCTGCGCCAGCTGGCGCCGCCCGTCCAGGCCGCGCGCCGCCTGCTGCTGGACGGCTTGCGGCGCGGTCAGCTGGCGCCGGCCGGGCCGCTGGCCGAGCGCGGCGTCGCCGCCGCCGGCCGCTGGGCGGCGCTGCAGGCGCGCGCCGAGCGCGCCGCGACGCGCATGGAGCGACACGCGGCGGTGCAGCGCCACACGGCCGGCGACTGGGCGGAGCTGGAGCGGCGCGCCGACCAGCTGCTCGAGACGACCCGGCTGCTCCAGCTGGAGGCGAACGCCGGAGGTGTTCTGGACGGACCCGCGAAGCTGGCTGTGAGTGGCGCGGCGGGCCGGGCCGCAGCGGCGCTGGTGTCGCCGCCGTGGCAGACACAACCGCGCCTGCCCGGTGGAATGATATTCACATGGTCTTTGGAGCGGTAACATGACAGGTGTCACTGTGCCGTAACCGGGGATGCTCAGGTGGCTCAACGGCTAGCGAAAGTCATGCCATCATGCTGTCTGGTCCCCCGCCCTGTTCGCCGGGCCGCCGCCCGACGTCGGTCGGCCGTCTGAGCCGGGCCGTCGCCTGATGTCAGCCTGGCCGCCGCCTGACGTCGGTCGGCCGTCTGAGCCGGGCCGCTGCCTGACGTCAGCCGGCCGCCTGAACCGGGCTGCCGCCTGACGTCAGCTGGCCGCCTGAGCCGGACTGCCGCCTGACGTCAGCTGGCCGCCTGAGCCGGGCCGCCGCCTGACGTCAGCCGGCCGTCTGAGGCGGGCCGCCGCCTGGCGTCAGCCGGCCGTCTGAGGTGGGCCGCCGCCTGGCGTCAGCCGGCCGTGTGAGGTGGGCCGCCGCCTGGCGTCAGCTGGCCGTCTGAGCCGGACCGCCGCCTGACGTCAGCCGGCCGTCTGAGGCGGGCCGCCGCCTGGCGTCAGCCGGCCGTCTGAGGTGGGCCGCCGCCTGGCGTCAGCCGGCCGTGTGAGCCGGGCTGCCGCCTGACGTCAGCCGGCCGTCTGAGCCGGACCGTCTGAGGCGGGCCGCCGCCTGACGGGTGTGAGCTGCTGCCGCCGGCAGGAGGTGCAGGCTGAGCGGGCGGCGCTCGCCGGCCAGCTGGACCAGGCGGTGCGCGACACGGTCAGCCTGCTGCAGACTACGGCGCCCGAGGAGGCCAGCTCGTACGACCTCCGGCCGCCGGCCGCCTACCACCGGCTCGGCGACGGCCTGGCGGAGCTGCAGCAGCTGCTGGGCACCCCGGAGACAGAGGTCAGTGGACGGCGCCCCGACCAGGCGGCGGTGCTGAGAGCCAAGCTGGGGAACGGGGTCCTCTACAGACGGCAGACTTGGGGCAGGGTCAAACATTTGAAGCGGCAAAGGCTGAGGCGACCCATTCCAGGTGATTTTGTTCCTCCTCGATGTGAGGTGGCCTGGGCCATCTTCCTACCGTCTCTTCAGTCTGACCTCATCAAACTCACTCGCGTGCTGCGTTTTTACCAGATGTGCCATTGGGTCTGTCTGGATACCTGACGTGGTGTTGGTACTTATTGTCAGACCATATTATGTGGCCTTGCCAGAAACGCGTCTCGCCTGCGTTTCGTGCGGTCTTTGCCACCTGACCTGCCATAGTGGCGTCTGTGTGACCAGGCCCGCTATTGTTCCTTTACGGTGGATACATTTACGTTATCTGACCCGACCTGCCCTCTCCTCTCCTCCTCAGGCGGCGGACGCGTCTGTGGCGCAGCTGGACGGCGCCATGGATGAGGCCGAGGCGTCGCTGGCGGAGCTGGAGCAGCTGCTGGCGGCCGAGGCGCCGCCGCTGGCGCAGCTGGCGCAGAAGCTGGGCGCCTGCGCCAGCGCCGCCGACCTAGTCGACTCACTGAGCCGGCAGCGGGCAGGGCCGGCCGAGGAGCGCGTGCCCGCCGTGCGTCGTCGATACGAGACGCTGCGGGGGGCGGCGCACGGCCGCCTTCATGACAGCGAGCGGGCGCCCATGCAGTGGGAGCTGGACCGGTGGCGGCTGCAGCAGTGGCTGCAGCACACGGCCAGCAAGCTGGACGCCATGCCGCCGGCCGACCGTCTGCGCCGCGACGACGTCCAGCTACGCCGCTTCAACGTGAGTGGCGGCGATGGTGTGCCCGTGTGTGTGTGCGTGGCTTGGTAGCATGCTGAGCGGATTGTCGTGGAGTCACCAGGCGCGGTTCTTTGATCGTGCTTGCCCATGTGACGGAAGAGCTCCCGTCTCATTGCGCGTCCCTCGTTTGCCGAAGCCGTGTTGCTCTGCGCACCGGCCACCCGAGTCGTATGGAGCGGCTGCGCTGAGTGGACTGCCCCGACGCCTGCCCGGCCGCGCGAGCCGGCCGCGCGTGACCGGAGCGTCGTGTGTCGACAGCGACTGTGTGTGGAGCTGGAGGCGCACACCGAGCTGGTGACGGCCGTCTGCCTGGCCGGGCGCCAGCTGCCCGAGGCGGCCGCCGCCGGCGGCCGGCCGGTGCGCGAGCGGCTGGCCGAGCTGCAGAGCCAGTGGGACGCCGTCTCCGGCCGGCTGGTGGCGCTGCAGTCGCAGTTGCTCTCCGTCGCCGGTGACGAGGACCAGCCGGACGGCGCGCTGGTGAGCCCCCCCCCCCCGCGCAGTGTGCCGAGGCTGCGTGGGGGACCACGCAAGACTACTTTCTTGACGCTCGTCGGCGAGACATTCAGTCGTGACGTATGCACGGTCCCTGTCACACCGTCAGAGAGACATTGAACTGTGACGTATGCACGGTCCCTGTCACACCGTCAGGGAGGCACCAAACTTTGACGAATGCAAGGTACCTGTCATGCCGTCAGAGAGACCTAAACTATGACTTATCCACGGTCCCTGCCACACCGTCAGGGAGACATTGAACTGTGACTTATGCACGGCCCCTGTCACACCGTCAGAGAGAATGACACTGCGCCCGTATTGTCGATGTCACACTCGCGCGCGGCACATTGGACTTTGATGTTCTGTGCCTGCCACACTCGTCCGTGCTGGGTGCATGTGGATGTCGTGGCTGACACGCAACGCGCGTGTCGCAGCCGGACGACGAGGAGAGACGCAGCATGCTGGCGCGGACCGCTGGCCTCCTGTGGCGCGTGGCTCGGGTGGCGCTGCCCGTGCAGGCCCTGCTTCTGCTCGGCCTGGCCGTCCTGGCCCTGTACCCGGTCTGCGAGTCCGGCGCCGACTGCAGCAACGGCTCCAACAACTTCGCCGCCAGCGTGCAGACCATGCTGAACTACCCTGGAGGCGCGCCGCCCATGTAGAGGTGGCGCTGGCGCCGTCCTTACCGACTCGGGAGAGGCGGTCGACGTCGGAGCGAGACGACCGAAGGCTGTACGGTGTGACATCTGTGATGGAAGTGCTCTCGAGCAGAGGTAAACGTGATCAGGTGACGTGCGTACCGTGTACTTGTCATTCTTCGCTTCGCTTCGGGACAACGCCGCTAGTATCTGTGTACAATATAACCGATGGCCCGGCCGGCTTAGACGCCAGCTGCTCTGCTTCGATGCCTTAGCGGCTTCCGCCGCGTTGCAGCCCGCTCTGTCGACATCTGTTCTGTTTCTGGTGGTGCGGGCGTAGTGGGTGCTTTCTGCGGTTGAGCGTCGAGTGTAGCTAGTCGAGGTCAGGTCAGGTCGCAGCTCTCCCGGCGAGCGGCGGGAGGCTGTCCTGCAGCGTGTGGGGTCCTGAGAGGCCGCTCCGTCGGTACGTCGGCTGTGTTACGGTGGCCCCACCACTGTTCCGTCGCATATTTTCGCAAATATATGTTTGTAGTACACTCGCGCACGTGTTTTATTCTTGCGGAGTGCTGAAAGAAGTGACGAGACCGCGCTTGGCTGCAAAAAAGACAAGGCGTGATCGCGGTGTATTTGCATACACAGATTCAGCTGCGCAATAAATACGGAATCAATATCAAATCAAGCGTCCTATCTTCAGATCAGATGTTTTGACAGTTCCGGGACAATAGAGGATGCGTGCATTAGTCTCCCTGTCCACTGCCTGCTGGTTTGGATTGGCTAGGCACCGTCCTCGCAGATGCGCAACAGTGCGTCGCCCTTGGTAAGGCACTGTCGCCGCAGCAGTGCGACAGTGCGCCGCCCTTGGTCGGGTACTGTCCACACAGCTGCGCGATAGTACCCCGCCCATCACTGGATCTTGCAGGGGATCTCGGCGCAGGCCACGACGCCGCCCGCCTCGTCGACCAGGTCCCAGCGCACCAGCACAGGGATGGTCGGGTACTCCTTCAGCACGGGGAACGACACCTGGTAGGCGAAGGTGTCGCCGCTCGCCAGGGGACACGATGCCGAAGTCAGGCTGTCGCACGCCTGAGACAAAATCAAGCATGTCTCAGCGAGGACGGCAGGGCACGGCTACACGGGACACAGACCTCGAGAGCGGCAGGGAATAGCTACCCGGGACACAGACCTCGAGAGCGGCAGGGAATAGCTACACGGGACACAGACCTCGAGAGCGGCAGGGAATAGCTACACGGGACACAGACCTCGAGAGCGGCAGGGAATAGCTACACGGGACACAGACCTCGAGAGCGGCAGGGAGTGGCTACACGGGACCACAGACCTCGAGAGCGGCAGGGAATAGCTACACGGGACACAGACCTCGAGAGCGGCAGGGAATGGCTACACGGGACACAGACCTCGAGAGCGGCAGGGAATAGCTACACGGGACACAGACCTCGAGAGCGGCAGGGAATAGCTACACGGGACACAGACCTCGAGAGCGGCAGGGAATAGCTACACGGGACACAGACCTCGAGAACGTCAGGGAATGGCTACACGGGACACAGACCTCGAGAGCGGCAGGGAATAGCTACACGGGACACAGACCTCGAGAGCGGCAGGGAATAGCTACACGGGACACAGACCTCGAGAACGTCAGGGAATGGCTACACGGGACACAGACCTCGAGAGCGGCAGGGAATGGCTACACGGGACACAGACCTCGAGAACGTCAGGGAATGGCTACACGGGACACAGACCTCGAGAGCGTCAGGGAATAGCTACACGGGACACAGACCTCGAGAGCGTCAAGGAATGGCTACATGGGACACAGACCTCTAGAGCGGCAGGGAAACGGCTACATGGGACACAGACATCGAGAGCGGCGGGGAATGGCTACACGGGACACAGACCTCGAGAGCGTCAGGGAATGGCTACATGGGACACAAACCTCGAGAGCGGCAGGGAATGGCTACACGGGACACAAACCTCGAGAGCGGCAGGGAATGGCTACATGGGACACAGACCTCGAGAGCGGCAGGGAACGGCTACATGGGACACAGACATCGAGAGCGGCGGGGAAATGGCTACACGGGACACAAACCTCGAGAGCGGCAGGGAATGGCTACATGGGACACAGACCTCGAGGGCGGCAAGGAATGGCTACATGGGACACAAACCTCGAGGGCGGCAAGGAATGGCTACATGGGACACAAACCTCGAGAGCGCCAGGAAGGGCTACATGGGGCACAAACCTCGAGAGCGCCAGGGAAGGGCTACATGGGACACAAACTTCGAGAGCGCCAGGGAGGGGTTACATGGGACACAAACCTCGAGAGCGCCAGGGAAGGGCTACATGGGGCACAAACCTCGAGAGCCCCAGGGAAGGGCTACATGGGACACAAACCTCGAGAGCGCCAGGGAAGGGCTACATAGGACACAAACCTCGAGAGCGGCGGGGAATGGCTACACGGGACACAGACCTTGAGATGAACCGCAAGCGGCCACAAGTGGCCCAGTCCTTTAAGGTGGTCTGGCACTGTTAGACGTGGCCCATTGGCCGAAAACAAACGTTGGTTTGGTGGTGACACGCAAAATAAGCATTCCCCCCCCCCCCCCCCACACACACACGTTCAGAAGAACGAGGGAGGTCTCTGCCTGACGAAACGGACGAGTCTTGGCATGTGGTAGGGGACGTGAATACCCGGGGCCGGCCCGTGGCGTTGCTACGAACCTTGTCGTCTTTGTAAAAGGGCACCGGAATGCCGCTGATGATGCCTTGAACTTCCGACGTCAGGCTGGAGATGCTCGAAGCTGGAATCAGCAGACGCAGTTCTCACATGATGAAATAAGTCCGCAAGTGCATCAGCCGACGCACAACACAGAGAACGTGCCTCTGGTGTACACGAGGATGAATAAACGGTCAGGTTAAGAAAGCGAGATACTTGGTTGCCGACGTATATATGCATATATATATATAAGTGTATTTAGCTCAGGTTTCAGGTAAACTTGGGTTACGATTTCTTCGTAGGCACATATTATATGCATGTGCCCTCTCCATAGTCCAATTTTTGCTGTTCCTCCAACGTCAAAGCGACAAGTGAAGTGATAGTGCATGCAACTGCACCGCTAGATGTGAAAAATGCACGCTCGGTGAACGCGTCTGCGTAGCGCCGGCCGCGCGCTGTCGGTGGGGGAGGGGGAGGAGGTAGTCACGTGTCTGTGACCCGCTCCATCTGAACAAACCAACCTAGTCGCAGCCTGCTGCAGGCTCAACAAAACAGAGCCGCACAGAGAGGGGTCGAGACGCTCTCCGATTCTGTCAGTCACGATCAGTCGCGATGTACTTCACACGGTGATCTGGCTACACGTCCACCCCTCCGTGAAGAACACGGGAGCCTTTCTGAACAGCCGGCTCTCCTACAGGCGTATGTATGCCCAAACGGCCAGGGATGCAACAACACATTCAATCATACTGTCATCCAACCTGTGCTAATGTCATTTTATAAGGTGAAAGCACACACAATAGCAAAATCTGCTCCGATATCACTGGGATCAGGGCCCCAGGGGCCAGGAGCCCTCAGAGGCTCAGTGTTGGTTGTTCTCGTGTAGACGTCCGCAGACCAAGGCTGCCGCGCACAACATCCTTCCCTTCGACTGACCTGCGGTGATGTCGGTGTCCATCACCAGATCTTTTCCCCTGTGCAGAATGCAGGGCACCTCATTGCAGCCGGTCAGCTGCAGGGTGTTGATGGTGCTGCTGGACCCTGCCGCCGACCGACACAGAGTGGTGAGACACGCTCTGCCAGCCGGCTGACAGACACAGGGTGGTGAGGCACGCTCTGCCAGCCGGCTGACCGACACAGGGTGGTGAGGCACGCTCTGCCAGCCGGCTGACAGACACAGGGTGGTGAGGCACGCTCTTCCAGCCGGCTGACCGACACAGGGTGGTGAGGCTCGCTCCGCCAGCCGGCTGACCGACACAGGGTGGTGAGGCACGCTCTGCCAGCCGGCTGACCGACACAGGGTGGTGAGGCACGCTCTGCCAGCCGGCTGACCGCCACGGGGTGGTGAGGCACGCTCTGCCAGCCGGCTGACCGACACAGGGTGGTGAGGCACGCTCTGCCAGCCGGCTGACCGCCACAGGGTGGTGAGGCACGCTCTTCCAGCCGGCTGACCGCCACAGGGTGGTGGGGCTCGCTCTGCCAGCCGGCTGACCGACACAGGGTGGTGAGGCACGCTCTTCCAGCCGGCTGACCGACACAGGGTGGTGAGGCACGCTCTTCCAGCCGGCTGACCGACACAGGGTGGTGAGGCACGCTCTGCCAGCCGGCTGACCGACACAGGGTGGTGAGGCACGCTCTACCAACCGGCTGACCGACACAGGGTGGTGAGGCACGGTCTCCCAGCCGGCTGACCGACACAGGGTGGTGAGGCACGCTCTGCCAGCCGGCTGATCGACACAGAGCGGTGAAACAGACCAAAGGCTTTATCTGTGAGGCTGAATTGAGCCAAGTGAGTTCAATAATAAGAAAGTTCGATAATGGCTCGGGACAAGCGGAAAGGTAAGCAGATTGCTTTACGGTTAGCACCTTTCTAACCAGAAACTGTCCCCCTATTCTAACCGTGATACCCCGACGGCTCTCCGACTTTGTGAGCTGGAGAAATGGGAAATCAATGGGATCAGACCTAAAGCTGAGCCACTTCAGCTGAGTTTCCCGTTCTGTCCAGGTACGTTTCCCAATATTCTCCACAGTGGAAGCCCCTGGAGCGTTTTTTTTTAGCTGTGTATGGTGAATACACAGCTCAACTGAGGCACGTTCACACTAAATGCTCACACACAGTCATGCTCACACGAACTAAAAATGCAAGATCCCAATCGGGAGCTCCCAGCTTTTCCCCAAACAGTTGGCCAAGGAATTTCAGCGTTTCTCTGAGTTGCCTATGGCAGTTTTGCACTAAGAATGACTTCCCCAAGCACATACCAAGCATGATGATCGGAGAAACTCGGAAAAATTTCAACGTTTCCCTAAGCAATGGCTTATAGCAGGCGCTCCATAGGGGAAAGCTTGGAAAAGCCAAGGTGATTTTCATAGCATTTGGGGAAACCTGAATTTCCCAAGCGTTTTTCAGTCTTACTTGCCCTTTCTTTAAAACAAATTACGGACCATGTTACTTTGTCGATCATATACATGCTGCAGTCACAATGCTTTTTTACTTCCTGGAGCGGAGTTGGACAACGAGTGGCAGTACCGTCTTCTCGTGTTTCGAAGACCAAGGAAATCACATGCTTCCATAGATCGAGCGGTGCATAACACAGTCATCCCTCATATGTTGGTGAGAACTTGTGGTGATGGCTTGTCCTGCCCTGAATATAGTTGCAACAAACTCAGCTTGATCAAAACAAAGACAGCCAATCTGTTTGTGGCTGTCTTGACAGGTTATATCCAACAGTTATCTTCGGCGTATGACGCATCTGTTGAAAACAGGCGCTGCAGCAGAGCTGAGCTGCACACGCTACCAAATTCCAGGGTGAGGCAGGTTTCGTTACCTCAGAGTGAAATGAAACATAAGAAATCCGATGATTGGAAATGAATATGTCCTCAAGACAACTTCAACGGCGTGCAGTGTTCCACAGCCCGTCTGCTGTTTTACGAGATGTATTCCATTAAAGGAAGCCACCTAGTATGGCCCGTCAGAAGACCCCCAGGCTATATGTCGGTGACTGTTTTGAACTTCAGATTGGACCTTAAGAAAGGTGCAGATTCTGTAGGGGCATCAGATCAGCGTCGGAACGCATTGCACTGTCGGTGCTAGATAATGACGATGTCCGATCGGGGCGATGTGAAGATGGCATGAAGTGCTCGCCTCCTACCACATTTAGTCGGTGTATATTCAATTCAATCTCAAACTTGCATTCAACGTATATTCAAACGTATATCCAAAAAAACGCATGTTCAAACGTATGTTCACACAGCGTGTATTCACAAGCGTGTATTCAAACGTATATTCAAATGTATATTCAAACGTATATTTAATTCAATCATGATCAAAAAACTTTTTCATCAAGAATCTTTTTCCGCAAGTTCCATCTTTATGCAAAAGCAAGGCTAGCAAGCTTTTAATATGCGCCAGTGGTGTCTTCATGATGGCTGTCAATGGCACGACGGTTGATGACAGAAGACAAAAATTGCAATCTTTCAATTATTTGGGACTTCTTGAGGCTGAAAGCTGCCTTACTCGTTTTAGGAAACTCAAATCAGGGGGCATTCTGGTAGGTCCGTCTCTTTTGATACAATAATCGGGGCCTCTCCACCAGCATGCCCACTGACCTCTGTGACGTCAGTACGCCCCGAGGTCAACATACCGCAGTCAGTAAACGGCGTGTCGGCCGCGGCGGCGGCCAGGCCGGCCAGGAGCAGGAGCAGGCTGAAGCCCGACATGTCGGCCGACTGTCGGACGCTCTGTCGGAGGCCGTCCCTGTCGGCTGGCGAGCTCGCTGTCCGCCCGTCGGAGGTTGCCCAGTCGGCCGGGGACCGTTGCGCAGACGGCCGATGAGGGGCACGTCCAGCGGCTGGTAGCGTCCTTTATGAACCGCCGCCGCTGTCAGGTGGCCGGAGAGCGGCACCTATCTGAACGGGTGGCCGCCGCCGACGCGCAGCTGACGTGACCCACAGAAGCGGGCCAGCTGCCGGCTATCGATCGGCGCTGAGGGCCCGCGGAAGGTTTTTCCAAGAGTATGGGCGTCGGCCCACTCACAGATGAGGGCGCGACTTGGGGTAGACACCGCACGCTCCATGATCTGTCAGATATGGGTGGCGTGTCGAGCTTTGGCAAACGCATATCACCCAGTGTAGACGAGGCTGTTGACACATTAATGCGATTATCATAAATACATCACATTCTGCTCCTTCATAAACGCATGCATGGTTCATCCAAATCCGAGACGGCGAGCCGCCATAAAATGGAATGGACACGGTCTGAACAGACAACAAGGGCATATTAAACAAATATTTGTTGATCGATTGTCTTTAAGGACATACTCCCTGATACATTTGGTATCTCTCGTTTCGCCAGAGGCTCCCTGTCACAAGTGATGACTGTGCGAAGTTCTAGCCCTATAGAGCGCGAGTGCGTGGTAACGATCTCCATTATCACAGTGTTTTAGGACGTAGCGTGACGGCTTTAAGTGGAGCTCAGTAGTGGATCGGGTTGGCAAGGTGCTTGTTTGAAACCTACAATTTTCCCTCTTCCTAAGCGAAGAAAAGTTAGACTTGCGTGGTGGGTCCATTCTCTTTCCGTCAGTTCGGTCACCACAGTTCCGTTGCCGTGTTTCCGCCGCCAGCCGCCGACAGGCATCGAGGGGCCCGCTGATACTGTCGGCAGACATCGAGGGACTCGCTGATCCTGTCGGTAGACATCGAGAGGCTCACTGATCTTGTCGGCAGACATCGAGGGACTCGCTGATCTTGTCGGCAGACACCGAGGGGTTCGCTGATCCTGCCGGCAGACATCGAGGGGTTCGCTGATCCTGCCGGCAGACATAGAGGGGCTCGCTGATCCTGTCGGCGATCGGTCACCGACGCGGAGTCGATGAGTGGTCAGCTGCGGCAGATCAGTTTGACTGTGCGTGGTAAGGTGTGGTTGTAGCGTTTAACCATGCATGCTTAAAACGTGTCTGAATTTTGAACCACGCTGTTCAACCGCCTGCTCGGTGACGACCGCTGACGGACGCGGCGTGTAAGTGTGGCGCAGTGGTGACCAATCATCAACCAGAGTCAGAGGAGGTGGACCGACCATCTCTCGGGGAGGCTAAGTGCAATCATCTGCCCATTTTTGATGACGTTATCTATTTCAGTTGCTCAATGTTGCGGCTCAGCGTTGGTGAGATGGCCGCAGCGCCGACGTGTAAAGTTACGACTTGCAATTTGGTATAATTCTGGTCCTGCGTGGCGTACGACCATATGCACACGATGTAATTGTGGAAGAGCATTCAGGCGGATATGTAGATTGCTCATCAGCCGATATGACTTTTGTTATTTCAATGACCCTGAAATGCTGCATTGCCAAGTAGCGCGATGGTTGGCATGCAGTTGTCCAAGAAACAATTATAAGCACGCGCAATGACAGCTATCCCGTGCATTTTTTAGCGCCGCTGGGGCTAAAGAATGGGCTGGGGCTGCTATTAGGGCTGCTAGCTGCCAGTATATCAGCTTTTTTCAATGTCATCTGTTTTGTTCGGTCGATCTTTCAACGCAGTTCTAGCGAGACGGCTGCAGCGGCGAGTTGTAGCATTGTACCTTGCAATATAAAATACTTTGAGTTTTGTTCGCTGGCTGCCAACATGCACACATAATGTCATTGTTGGGGAGCGTTCGTGATGCGATGTAAATCGCTCGTCAGCCGACATGACCTTTTTGCTCAATTCGCCCTCCCCCCCCCCCCCCGCCGAGACTGCGCATTGCTCAGTAGAGGTAGCCTGGGAAAACGCTTATTAACGCGCTCAAAAAGCACATCATCTTTTTCGGCCAATTCCTAACCCAGTTTTGGCGAGACGCCCGCAGCTGCAATCTGCAAAGCTACAGTTTTTAATTTAGAATACTTTTAGTCGTGCGCGGCGTGTGCGGCCATGCGTAAACATTGGCATCATGGGAGAGTGTCCGGATGGCAACGGAATTGCTCATCGGCCGACATGACCTTTCTGTTGAAATCGCACCGAGACGATGTATTGCCAAGTGCCGCGATGGTCAGCATACAGTTGTGCGGGAAAATACTGCTGAACGTGCACAAGAACAGCTACTGTGTACTGGCAGCTGACAACCCAATACAAAATCTATACAATCCACAGAGATACAATAATCGGGCGCGATTCGACCTACTTGTTCCTGGCCGCCGGATAAGCGCCGTCACTTTACAATCGGACCGTCCCCATTCAGCCAGGAACAGTGAAGGGGTGTTTAGAACAACAAGGGTCACGTCGACCGACCAGAGATATATCTCGAAGATTGTGTGCACTAACAACTGGTTGATGATGATGGTTGCTGTCATGACAGTACGCTGGCAAAATATGTTGAAGGGATGACCAGGATAAGATGGCGTTAGACGGTGGGTGTAGGTGATAAGTTCATTCTCCTGCTATCTGTGTTCGTGACTCTTTAGCTTTTCGCATTCTTCGGAAGCAGTAAACTTGAGCTGCAGATATCAAACGTCTCGTCGTATGATGCAGTGAGCATTCTTTGCGCTACTGAATGCTCCAGAATGCACGTTGTTGTAATTTGTTCGTATTCAGCACGATGTATGTGAATTGTATAGGAAAGGCGCATACCTCCGGGAGATATCTTAACGGTTTTTTCATTCATTACTTATTAACACTTTCGGCACCACTTTGCATTGCCTCGGTAAACGAAGTGATTGGGCCCTGACCCTAAATATCAATGTATTTTGTGGGTTGAGGAACATTTCACCGTCATTTTGAGGAAAGAAATGACCGCAAGCACGCGAATCAAGAGGAAGGATTGCCATATGAGCTTGGAGACAGAATGATTGCTATATGAATGTGATTGCAAAACCCGGGACTATCTCCATTGCTATTCTCATTTTAAAAACAGATTGCAACTTCATGCGAAATCAAAGAAGATATTGCGGTATTGCCGATTGTGCAATCCCTAAGCCCAATCCCTTACATCTACCTGAATATTCATAGCTCCTCAGCTATCGGCGGCTTTCTAGATATAGTTAAGTGTAGGTATACTATAGGGACAGCTAGAAGTGAACTAGACTGTATACTGTGCATCCTTTCGTTCTGATCCGGGTGTGTCAACGCATGTTATGACATTTTACGCATGCTCCGGATTGCGCGATCGAAATTAGAAACGAAACAGGCCGGACTATTTTACGGCAAGCAAAACAAAAATGTAGCTGGGATGCTTGCTACTTTGGGTAGGAGTGAATGGAACGGATGATTCTTGCACATATCTCAGTCATGCCCATTCATTGCCATTGTAAGAATCAATACACAAATGCATTCTAAAACCGCAAACTGTACACGGTTAAGCACGTTTTCGATATGATCGGTATTTGACACCAAATGCCGACAAAACTCTAGCATCAGAAGTCAAGTACAACATAAAAAACTGACCCATACAAATGGCAGCCATGCAGTGGCTAATGCACGATCCAAATCCGCAGCGGTATCTTTGGATATTTGGATATTTGGAGGGTTCCGACGATGACCCGTCGGGCTATTAACTCAGCGATGTGCTCAAACCGAGCGGGTCAGGCCGGATCGGTCTCGACATCAGCCGTTCAGCCGCCCGCGCGGCTCTTTTCAAAAGACATCTTCAGCTGCAGTCTCTGTATTTGATTGACGTACGCCTGCTACATCACAAAACAGCGCCTTACGCTTGTCGGACACGACGGACGATGAAATAAATACTGGGATGAATCAAATGGTTGCGTCGGAGCTTGCGTCGACCCGCCGCCCGGCCGTCTGCCAACAGCCCGATCCGCCGCTGACGGCACGTCACCGACGGTGCGTCACCGACGGCGCGTCACCGACAGTACGTCACCGACGGTACGTCACCGACGGTATGTCACCGACGGTATGTCACCGACGGTACGTCACCGACGGTGCGTCACCGACGGTACGTCACCGACGGTATGTCACCGACGGTACGTCACCGACGGTATGTCACCGACGGCGCGTCACCGACGGTACGTCACCGACGGTGCGTCACCGACGGTGCGTCACCGACGGCGCGTCACCGGCGGTGCGTTACCGCCGGCGCGTCACCGACGGTACGTCACCGACGGTACGTCACAGACGCCGCAGTCCGGAGTGGAGCACTGTCCGATCCTGGACGGCCCCTCCCGCGGACCAGCCGGCACCGACCGAGCCGAGCGCGCCGGCGCGGGCGAACGGGTCGCTGGACGCTGCTCACTGGATCTTGGCTGGAATCTCCACGCAGCACATTTCTGAGCCTGCGTCGTCCTTCAGCTTCCACTGAAGGGTGACGGCAATCGGCGGGTACTCCTTCAACACGTCCACGCTGGCGGAGAACGACGCCTTGTCGGCGACCTCGAGGGGGCACGAGCCGGACGTCAGGCCGTCGCAAGCCTGTCGGTAGAGGTCGGGGCGTCAGGACCGGCTCCGGCTAGTCGTTTACAGAGGCCTGGCCATTACGAGAAGCCCCGACTGGCTTTCCTCAGAGAGCGAGGCCCTACAGTCAGCTCTGGTTGGCCTGTTGCGTAGGCCTGGTCATTACGGGGAACACTGATTGGCTTTCTCCAGACAGTGGGACGCTAGGGTCAGCTCTGGTTGGTCTGTTGCGTAGGCCTGGCCATTACGGGAAACCTTGATTGGCTTTCTCCAGACGGCGGGTCGCTAGCGTCAGCTCTGATTGGTCTATTGCAGAGGGTGCGCCGCTAAGGTGACATTTGATCTGCCTACCCGTTACAGGGCGAGCCGTTACAAGGGGCTTTGATCGCGTTCTAACGGGCGAATCTTTACACGAAGCAGTGGGTGGTCTGCGTAATAGTCTGACTGACTGACTGACTGACTGACTGACTGACTGACTGACTGACTGACTGACTGACTGACTGACTGACTGACTGCCT